TTCCCTGAGACAGATACCCTGCGCGGGCATCTTTGATCTCTCCTTGACAATTTCGTGTGCAGTGAAAATAGCTAGAGACCTGGAGCAGACACATCAGAATTCCGGTTCTGGCCTAACCGCGTTTGACTCTCACTATCAATTACTACTAACAAAATCAGTAACAGGTGGCACGTCCGTAAATAGAGCACGGTCCTTAGGAGACTGCCCTGCAGTCGACAGCAAGTTCGAGCTCGGAAACTTCCCCCATGTCCCTGGTTCCTAAAATCCAGGGTGATCCGATCTGATTTTCGTGGTTGATTACTGAAACAATGTCACCGTCTATGAATTTCGGACTCCTCCCCCCGTATAATATTTGAGCCAGTTTATTCGCTGCTTCTGCCGTTATCATTCGATTCCCAACCCTCCTCTGACGCCCCAAGAAAAGCCGAACCATTAAGCCCGGACCTGAGGAAAGGCGGACGGCCCTGTCTCCATCCTAGTACGTGAGTCGGCTGGGTTTGGAAGCCCTTGCACTGCCAAAGAACGCTCTCAGAAGACGCGAGCCTCTGGCGGGATGCTAACGCTAAGAACGATGATTTGGCAAGGTGAGGGAGACCGGAAGAATGGAGACCACATCCGGGGTCATTCGCAGGTCCCTAAATTCAAGGGGGGAGACAGAGGACCACTGTGTGGGCAGAAGGGAGACCTGACAGGTTGGTAGTCACAGAGGGAGGTACGAGTCTGCTGGCGAATGCCGGAACCCACGCATCTCGATCCTGGAAGCACTGATGGTGAAAATGCCACGCCTACTGCCCCTTACGGGTACCCGCCTTAGGAAATCGATGGTCTTGGCAGCAGGACAATGTCACGGCATACAACACCCTGTGGCATATGGCATTATCTCCTTCCAAGGATCTGAGAAAAAGAGTTCTTCCCATTGTCAATAGAAAAAAAATTGTGTCCCTCTGAGAAACTGGTTTATTTTTATCTGGTGGAAACCGAATAACTTAGACTATTTTCCCTTCCTCTGGTTCTAGGAAGCTCAGAGACAGCATGCAGCCCCTCACCTCCGTTCAGACTTTATAGGCCGAATGGTGTGTACCGATCTTCGCCCAGCTTTATTCTTATTTTCTACCCTTATTTTGCCTTCCTCGTGATTTTCTCCATTTTACACCTCGACCCTGTTCTGGGCATCTCAGAAGAAAGGAGAAAGAGAAAATCGACACGATGCTTAACAATTAAGAAATAATATGTATTTCATCTAGTGGAAAAGAACGCTTCCCTTTTGTTGAATAAAAAGTAAAATCTCAGGATAACCACGGAAAAGCCCTCAAGAAAGAACACGGTAATGGAGACAAAAACGACAGCATCGCTGAGTTGATGCTCAGATCGCAGCCAACCCAGAGTCAGAGGACTCACAGGAAAGGCCCGCCGGAAGAACGGCGCCAGTCCCAGCTGGGATCTGGTCCTGCCCTTTGGCAGAGCAGGTGTCATGTCTCTGGGGTCAAGTAGCTGACACTTCCCACACAGTCAGATTCTGCATGCGCCCACGGATAGTCCTCCGGAAATCTAAGCATCGATTAATAAATTTAGCAATGTATTTGACTCTCTCCTGCACTAGAGTCACTCTCTTTAAAGTGGGCACTGTGACCTAGCACAGGGCTCAAGGCCCAGCAGATGTCCCGTGGGAGGTCATTGGAAGGTCAGCCTAGGAGGATGTCTCCACTCAGTTACGTGCATATTCTGGTAATGATGCTCCTTCGCCACACACTAAGATCCACTAGATCCTTCTCACTGAATTATCTGGATGTCATGGGTTGCCCAGGCACTGCAGGAGAGACTGGTTGCTAAGGAAGTATGAGCGACCGTAGCCACTAAGGACAGGGCTGATGAAGAAACCCAGGAACTGAATGTCAACCCAGATCGCCAACATCAGCTCTTAACACCATCGCGTCCAGTCTGCTCGGCCGGAAGACGTTTCCCTAACTGGTATCTAGGCCAGAGCCCATGAATAACGGAGGAAGAGTCAGGAGGACTAGCAAAGCTTACTCCGCATCATGACACGGGTTTTTAAAAGTCATCCATCAAACAGGTGTAGTTAGCAGTGGCCTTCCTCCAGAGGCAAAGGGGCCTGCCTCAAGTGGCAAACCCTGTGGCCAAGTTCAAGTGCAAATCATCATCCAGCACATTAAGAACCCACAACAGGTTGGCAAACAGGCTCCCAGCCTCGCCGTAGGCGCTTGGAAGGAAGTCAACTGCCTGACACCACTTTTCCACTCGAATCTCCCTCCAAAATCCCCTCGGATTCAATATTTCAAAATCAGATTTGTGACTTTTCCTTCCCAGACTCATCCTCCACCATCCACCTAGAAACCAGACCTCGGAGATCCCTCGATTCTTCTTGCCCCCTGCCCCTCCGTACCTATTCCTTCAGCAAGTCTGTGGGCTTCACCTCGTAAATACTTCTCCAACCATCCTCACCCATCTCTCCATCTTCCTGTCCAATACCTCTCACCCAGACCAGTACAGTCACCTCCGAACTCATCGAGTCACCTCCCAGCACCCACTCAGCTTTTCTTCAATCTCGGCCCATTCTTTTCTAAATCCTAGTCCTCCTCCGATGGTCATTAAGATATACCCAACCCCTCCCACCCCACGACACAGCTTAAAAATCTTGGTGCAATATTAGGGAAATGCTCACACTAAAAAACTACTCCTTGCTTATCTGAATTCAAATATAACTGGCTATCCTGGTTTTTTGTTGTTGTTGTTGTTGTTGTTGTTGTTGTTTTTAATCTAGCAACCCTAGGTAGTTGTTGTTGTTGTTGTTGTTGTTGTTGCTGTTTTTAATCTAGCAACTCTAGGTGTTAAATCTAGGCTTTCCATCTTTATACAGCCTCCATGGCTGCTGCCACTGTGCCCAGCGGAGTCTCTGGGCCTGGCACCGCCCAGGTCTGCTAATCGGAAAATTCCCGAACATGGCTGAGCTTCCAGTAACCAACAACCTGACCCTTCCCATGACCCACCTAAATCAAAATCCGCTGAGACATGCTTGCTTACACAAAAGAAAAAGATCCCATTTCAAGAGTAAATTTTTTTGTCTGTCTTAAACAATGGAGGCTAAGTCCTGAACTTTTGCATTTAACTCGACTGCCCTCTGGTGGGAGGAGCTGTGAATTGTGCCTCAAGCGGGCACCCTTGGAGAAGTTCTTTGATGCATCAATTGTAAGTATTGATTGTAGGCCTACTGTGTGCCAGGCCCTGTGCTATGCACTGTAGGGGAAACCAATGAATTGAGGTTGCATGGGATAGTAAAAGGAGCCAGACAGCTCTAGCACCCATTAGTTATGCTTCTTAGGGTGAGTTCCTTAACCTCTGCTTCAGATTCCTCGTTCGTATGCTAGAGACCATAATTTTTCATTCAGTTATTTTTGTAAGTATTAAAGTGGGTAAAAGGATGTTAAACCCCCTGTATGCAGTAAGCACTTAGTTGAACTGAGTACACATTGGTTTGCATCAATGAACATCAGTAAATCAGACTGTTTTATGTAGTCATAGGCAGGCCATTCTCTGGGCCTGGGGACCAAACATCTAATCTACGTTTGCTGAAGCTGAGTTATACGTAAAGACTTCCTACAGATGCATAATAATTGACAAGTTTTATGCAGTGTTTTCATAGATGAGGTCTGTCGGCTCTTCACCATGACCTAATCTGTCCTATCTGTCTCCACAGATGGGGGCACTGAGATTCACAAAGAGTAAGTGGCCAGGTCGCTGTCCAAGCGGTGGCAGAGCCCTAATTAGAGTCACAATGGCAAATGCTAAGGGGCTAGGCAAGTAATGCAGATGGATGGAGCAGGGGGACATAGAGGGGCTTGGAGCGCCGGAGGGTGTACGCTCGGTCGAAAAAGAACAGTTTAAGGCTCGTTTCTCATTTCTCGGTGCTCTGGGAGAATGCGTACAGGCCCCACCCTTGACTGTGGAATCAGGAATTCAGAAAGAAAGTGGTCGTTTGGAAGTCAGCCACGTAAAGGCTCAGGTTCTCCAAGAGAATTCCTGGCAGTATTCTCAGCCTAAGCTTCCTATTTACTTTTCCAGTAGCCCCGCCCCCCGCCCCTTATCCATGGTGGTTACAGTCCAAGACCCCCCAGTGGATGCCTGAACTACAGCTAGTACTCTATTTATACTATGTTTTTCTCCTACACATATATATCTATGATAGTTTAATTTATCAACTAGGCACAATGAGATATTAACAATAACAACTAATAATAAAAACAGAACAACTGTAACGATGTACCGTAATAAAAATTATGTGAATGTGACATCTCTCGCACTCAAAACAACTGTCCTTCACTCACCTCTTCACTTAAAGGAAGCACTTTACGGCATCTCTCTGACATATCCGAATTGCCAGTATCACTATTCTTGCTCTGTGGGGTCGTTGTGAAGTAAAATCAGGGTGACTTGAACACAAGCTCTGTGGTGCCGTGACAGTGTGATGATCTGATCATCAAGACGGCTACTAAGGGACTCACAGGCAGGAGCGTCTGCTGCGGAAAGACGCAGGGCACAGGGACGGTCCACGTCCAGGCTGGACAGAGCGGACTCGTGAGATTTCATCACACTGCTCAGAAGAGCGCGCGGTTTAAAACTTGCGAATTGTTCATTTAGTATTCCTGGACCGCAGTGGACCTCGGGGAACTAAAACCAAGAGGTGGAAAACTGCGGACGAGGCGGGGCCCTATGTCCTCAGGACGTTCCTATTTTATCTGAAGTCCGTGCGGGGTCCTTTACAACAATAAAGCAGCTACCCGAATCACCGGGTTATCCGATTACTTGGGCTGAGCGCCATAATGCATCGCTCTTTTTATATTTGTTATTTAAATCTCTAAGTTTATCTATGAGAGCATACATACACGCCCCTCACAGAAACGCATAAATATGATCGCAGCCACGCTTTTCGTGGTGCTTTCCTTTCTCCTTTTCTGCCGATTCTCATCAACTTGCTGCCCCTTCCTTTCCCACGGTGGTCTGATCACCCAGTACGTGCATATTCATATTATTCTCCGTGCTGACCTAGGGCTCTACAGACCAAGTATAACCATACACTCACACACGCACATAACAGGATCAAGTATAACCATATACTCACATACGCACATAACAGGATGTGTATGTTTGTTTGTTTTCTAAAAATTAAACAATGTTATATTATCTGTACTTTGTATCATCTATCATATTATCGTAATAAGCTGCAGAACCTTCTCCCAGTCGACTGGTGTAGTTCTAATGCATTCTGTTTGATGGCTGCATAAATATTTATGGGGGATACACATTTATTCAGCCATCCACCTCAGGGTTGCTCAGACACTTTGTTCCCAGTTTTCGGCTACAATGAAAACAGATGCAGTAGACATCCTAGTACATATGTCTTCGCATTCTGGTGTTTTTATTTCCATGGGCTGGCTGGGCCAGAGGATTCATGTATTTTTAATTTGCGTAACTGTTGCCAGCTTTCTTTGGTAAAAACTCTGTCACCTTTTAAATGTACATCGGCAGCGTACGAAAGGCTGGCCCCTCACAATTCCCACCAAGCATGTATGATACTTCTTGGCACTTCTTGGCACCCAACACCAACGTGAGCGTGAGCTGTGGCAGGAGATAGGAGGGTACAGAGGCTGGCTCCCCTTACCTGTTGAAGCTATGGATCAGGTCGAAAACCATCATGTCCGTGGTGTTGACGAATTTGCACTGGACGGGCAGAAACCCACCATCTGGAGAACACTGCGGGGGTGACTTGTCGCCCACCCCGTGGAGAAGACGGCGGTTTCTGATCTCACAGCTCCTTGGACCTACACGTTTCCAAGGAAAAATTAATTTGTATGTATGAGTAGGTACCTATGCTTCTGCAGTCTACATTCACGTATGTATGCTATACATGCGACAGTTAGAGGCCCAAACAGGGACAAAGGTCTGCAACAGGAGACAGGCGAGCGCTCGCTGAAATCCAGCTTATGCTCCCTACCGTGGGCCGGAGAATCCTGATCATCCGCCACGTGGAAAATGACGTGGCAAAGCAGGTGCCCCGAAGACATGGGGCCGTCAGAAGTGCCAGGTTCCCTGCCTTTTGCAGGGACGCCCGACAGGGTTTGGTCACCGCGTGGAAGCCGCACACCCCACCCCGTGGGGTCCCGCTGCTCTGTGAGACTTACATCGCCTCGGCTTCCCCGGCTGGCGGGTCCCGTACACCTCCATCCCTTCTGCGTCCACACACCAGCACTGCTCCCGCCGCACGTCACACTGCACTGGCGAGTAATCCCCTGAGTCCTGACACTGAGGGAGGTAGGAGGTGGCCGTGCCGCTGGCATAGCCACTCAGCAAGATTTGCTGCTTCTGCAGCTGGCAGAAGGACAGGCCTAAGGACGCAAAGAGCAGCCTCAGAACAGTGCTGCAGGCACAGCTCGGCGGTCTCGGCTCAGGGCTCACCCCCCGCCCTAAGCGGGGAAAGTGGTCCTTCCCACAGCTGAGGGGGGCCCCAGGCCGCGGACGCTCGGCGAGTTGGGGACAGGCTCAGGACCATCCTTCCGACTGCCCATCTTTACCCTAGGATTCCTTCTAGTCAGAGAAGGGCAGTTTTCACTGTGTCCCACAGGTCACCGGACGCCCCACCACGCTGGTGCTGCAAATGGGGCTGTTCCCAGCGCTTGTCTGAACCCTATTTTCCCCTCGTGTCTGCTGCATAAGCCTGGGGACGTTGCTTCGCCACTCTGCGCCCCACTCTGCTTATCTACAGAACTGAAATGCACCTGCCTTTTTCAGTGCCTAAAGACCAGTTGCACTAATGATGATTGCCCCAGTTGCATACCTACTATGTGTCTGATGTTCTACGTGTGTTAGATTCTCATGGCCACCCTCTATTCCTGCTACATGCTCAGTGAGGGCGTGTGGCCTGGCCGGGGTCATTCAGTCAAAAAGCGTTGGGAGCCAGCCTGTCCCCTAAGCCAGCCCGAAACAGAGCTTTTCACTGTTAAAGGATACCTTGGTTCAAGTACACCATTTAAAGGTGACGGGCTTAAACTGGCCTTTGTTTTAGGCTTACACTGTGACATGCTTTAAAGTGGGGCTGTGTTTCTTTTGCTCATCATAATAATTATTTTAACAAGAAAGTTTTCGCCTAGGTCTCAAATTTCAGAACACGTCAGGTGAGAAAACATTTCATGTGCACGTGGCCACTTCTGGTTCAGGGGCCTCGGCTGTCTGCTCTCCGGGGTCTGCTCAGCACCAGGCCCGGTCCCCAGAACGCGGGGGACTCGGTCGCTATTTGCTGAAGGCGTGACTCGATCGTCCCATTTGTTTTTCACAGCAATCTTGTGGGAAATAGGACCCCAAGTGCACGACCGTGAGCTGAACTGAGAAGAGCCAGCAGCCCAGAGGGACACTCGCGTGGTCACACGCCTAACCCGGTGCTCCTTTCTGGATGTGCGTGGTCCTGGCAAAGTCCCCCTTCCCACGGGATGCTCCCTTCCCCTCCTCCCCCGCATCACACTTACAGGCCGCGGGCCGCCCAGGCTGCCGGCTGCCAGGCACTTCCCTGCCGTCCGCACCCACACACCAGCAGGAGCGACCATCCTGTTGGCACTGGACAGTCCTGAGGGCAGGAGACACAGCGCGAGGACGCCGTCAACGGCTCCCGAAGCCACAACCCAGGTCACCTTCACTCTGCCTCTCCACTGATCAAGTTTCCATGTAAATCAGGGAGAGACTGCGGGGAGGGGCCAGGTGACTTGAGAAAGGAGAAGCATTCCTGTCTCGCTGACCCCTGCAGCGCCCGGGTCCCTCACTCTCCAGCCACGCTCCGTCTCAAGTGCCCGCCCTGGTGTGTGACGCTTCGGCTACATGAGGCCGCAGAAGGTGAAGGCGGTGCCCCCTTTACGTGGACCAGGGGCAGAGACACCTCATCGTAGGGGAGGGGTGGGGGTTGGGGCTGGCAGGGACCAGGGCTTCGCTTATGAGAGGCACAGGGAAGCGCGTCTGGGGTTTGCCAGAGGAAATGACAGCTACACTGAGGTGAGCGGAACGATGAGCTGTTATTCTAGAGACAGAGAAGGTGACAGGCTCCCCGTAAAGAGGGCAGCGTAGGCAAAGCCTCCTGAGGAGGACCCAGCAGGCCTGAAACTGCAAGTGGCTGGAACAAGGGACATGAAAAGCCACATAAATAAGGCGGGTGGAGGTGGACCATCCTCACTCCTCTGCCAGCTCAGGATTCCCAAGGATCCAAGCAAGGAGCGTCACTGCGCTCTTGGGAGCATGTCAGAGCTTTGTCAGGCGCACTCGAGAGCATGAGGGATGTCTCACAAGGCTCCAGACCCGAGTCCTGTAGAGCAGCGGTCCCCAACCTTTGTGGCACCAGGGGCCGGTGCTCCTATGAGAATCTGATGCCTGGTGACCTGAGGCGGAGCTGAGGCGGTGATGCTACTGCTGGGAGCGGCTGCAAACACAGACAAAGCTTCGCTCACTGGCCCACGCTCACCTCCTGCTGTGCGGCCCGGTTCCTAACAGGCCACAGTCCAGTACTGGTCTGCGGCCCAGGGGCTGGGGACCCCTGCTACAGAGCGGGTGGCCCTCGTTCAACCTGACGGGAAGAGCCTGGGAAGTTAAACTACATCACATACGAAGGATTCCTGTGTTTTCTGTGCGGGGAGTTGTTTAGATTCTCACTCCACCCTACACGGGGAGTGTCCCGGTCCTTAGCTCATGATGAGGCAGCTGAAACACCCCTTCGAGAGAGGAGCCCACCGGGGGGACGGGAGGACACAGGCCACAGCTGGACCCGGCAGCCACTGACCTGAAAGCCCAGCCAGTTTCTGCTCCCTCCACCTCTGATTTCGAGAAGATGGGGGTGGGGGGGGGCAAAGCACAAATTATCCGATCCCCCGCACCCTTTGATTAAAGCAGTTATAGTAAAAGCTTTGGCAGGAAGAGAAGGGACGTCCTTGGTCCGAGCTGGGCAGAAGCAGGGATTGGGCGCTCCGGGTCAGATCCCCCAGCGTGGCTCAGCCTGGAGAACCGCGAGGCGGGCGGGCGCCCTCCACATGACAGCGGCCACATCTCGGTGCATGGAGGACAGCACTGGAGGACAGGGCAGGGCGGGGGTGGGCAGGGCACAGGGCGCGAATGAGCCGGGCTGGCGTGAGCCTTACTGGAAGCTGCCATCTTCTGCACACTGGGGGACGTAGTCTGCCTGCTTCAGAAAGGCCTTTTCCCTCTGCAGCTCGCAGGGCCGAAGAGGTTGGGCATCCACCTGGTATTCTACAGAAAGGGAAGCAGCTCGTCAGACAGGGGCGTGGACTGGGTTCCAGGGACAAAGACGGGCACAGATGCTCTTCTGGGTTGTATTTCTATCATCGTCACCAACCGTCAAGCTCCAGCTTGCAATTCTGTGGCTACTCACACTTTCCCAAGAATGACATTAGCTCATTTAACCCTCAATGCTCCCGTGGGGCGGGGGCCATGTCTCCGTTTTGCCCATGTGGCATGAAGACCGGGACAAGCGAAAGTAACTCGCTCAAGGTCACACAGCTGGCAAAAGGATTCACAGTAAAGCTGCGGCTGCTCGTTCCCCCAGGCCCTGGCTGGGTGAGAACCCCACTGAGGAGGTGTTCGGAATTCCCCCGGCCACCCCTGCAGACGGAGCAGCTTCCTGGCACAGAGCCGGGGACGAACGAACGAGTAAATCCCGCTTGTCTTATTTTCCATTGAGAACGCGTGTAACATGCAGTTTACTCAGAAACCACAACCACATCGGAAGGTAAGTGTCTCTGCTTCCTTTTCCAACAAGGAAGCTGAAGCTCAGACTGATCAGGGTCCCACAGGAAAGTGGCTGAGCCGCGGCCAGAACCGAGGTCTATGTCCCTGCACAGGTAGATCTGTTTAATGACTAGCTGCTGACCACACGAACACGGCACGTGGGTACCTAGGCCTCGAAATAGCTAAGAGAATAAAGAATGTCGGTGTCGAAAATTTGCTAACGGGGCGGGATGAGGGGAATTAGAATTAAATTAGGAAGATCTGTTTCCCTATCTTCTCTCCACCAACCACTGGCTCTGGGACCTCAGACAATTCCGTCCACCTCTCAGAACCTCTGTGTCTTCGCCTGTAAAGGAAAGAGCAAATAACCGACCTGGGGACGTCGCAGGGATTAAACGAGGTCACAGATGTTGGAAGACCCAGGGGCAGAGCCTGGCTGCCTAGAGCTGGCCTGGCCGCTCCCTCTCCACCCCATGCTCCTTGGCCTCGTGCTGGGAACTCACCGAAGATGTTGGCGGCCACCAAGCTGGCGGAGCCCAGCAGGCTGAGTGCCCACAGGGCCAGGGCCATTGTTCCGGGCTCCTCCAGGGGTACAGGGGGAGAAGCCACTGCCTGCCCCAGGCTCTGGCTGGGGAGCCTTTATAGGGCCGCTGGGCCCACTCCCCCACCTGCAGGCACTCAGTGAAGCGGCACCTGCCCTGTTTGCTCTGCTGGTCACAAAGGGTCCTCACCTGTGCCTGCTCCCTCTGAGAACACTCATGTTTCCAGCAGGGGATGAAAGTCTTGCTGAGGATACGCGGGGGCAGGCGTGGGTGGGGTGGCTTCAAACTTCATCTTCACACGGGAAAGCCAAAGCCACAGTGGCTGCGGGCACCGGGATCAGGGCCCTGGGAGAACAGCAAGCCCTCTCTCCCTCCCTCCCTTCTTCCCTCCCTCCCTTCCCTCCTTCCTTCTACCCATACTCATCTTAGAGCCCAAAGGTAGCAGACAGCACGCTAGGCAACGAGGGTATGGCGGAGCGAAAACAGAAGTCGTTAATGCAGAATGTAAGTATTTCAGCGAGGGAGCCAAATACACACGCACGTTCGTGTCCATATTTATCCTCCCCTTTCCCTCTGTGCAGGACGTCAGACATCGCCGACCTACAGGGAGCAGGAACTGTGTCTCCCACACAAAGCCTGAACACCGGTGTGTTTTCTCGAGCAAAGCCCATTTCCTTCGGCCACTCTTGTCTCTGGAAGGCATGGCAAAGTGACCTCGTGCCCCTGAGCCCCGGCCTCTTCCTCTAGAAAACAGAAATAACAGGAGAAAAAGAACGTGTACCTCCTTGATAGGGTGGCCATAAGGGAATAAACGAGATATGGATGAGTATGTGCCCAAGAAATGCTAGCAGCTGTTACTCTTGATTTTCCCATGTTCGAATGGCATCGTGCCAGGGAATGACAGGTACACAGAAGAACTGCCCAGCAGGGCGATGGGCTAGTGACAGATTGGGAAGGGTGGTAGGTGAGCAGGGAGGACCTCGCTGAGGTCCTAGAAAGGAAGGGCGAGCGAGGATCTGGAGGGACATCGTCCGAGGGAGAGGGGAGGGCAGGAGGACAGGCTGGGAGCTGCAGCACCTCTTCTCCGGGGAGGAAGGAGGAGACATAACCGTGGCACAGTGGACTGTACTACGCAGCAGGGTCATTATGGATATTGCACGAGTTAACATCAGTAAAGCGCTTAAAACAGCGTTTGCGTGTGAGTACCCAGCGTCGGCTACGATCGCTCTTTATTGTGTTTGTGATACAAACTATAGAAAGTAAAACTCAATCGTTATTTTAACTGACAGGATGTGGGATTAAAAATGGGTGAGAAATCCTGCTCTGTACACCCTTCCTGGAGACTCACACCCCCCTGTGGCTCCAACGTCGCCAGCGCCCCTGCTCTGTACACCCTTCCTGGAGACTCACACCCGCCTGTGGCTCCAACGTCGCCAGCGCCAGCACCAGCCTCAGCCTCAGCCTCAGCCTCAGCCTCAGCCTCAGCTCTAGCTGCAGCTAGACTTCTCTGTCTAGTTTCAGGCCCACCCTGCCCAGGTGCTCCACAGACACCTCAAATTCAGCACGTCCCAGAACAAACTCCCTAACGCTGCACCTTAACACGCTACTGCTGTCTCTCTGACAGCAAACCCGAGTGCCATCCTCAACCTCTGCCCTCAGCTCTCATCAGCTTCCAAATCCTACCAGCGAGCCCTGGCCCCACCCGCCCCCATCCCTGGGGACCGGCCCTCCTCTACCTCCTCACCTCCCCTGCCTCCTTCAGGCCCCAGCTCCAGACTAGCCGACCAGCACAGCCTGCCACCCGGCCTCCAGCCTCCAACCCTGGCCCTCGCCAGGCTGCTTCTCCAGCTGCAGGGGCAGGGGGTGCAGACCGAATCCTCAGATGTTCAGGAGGAGACACGGGCAGGTCTTGGAGACCACTCAGCGGTGGGGAGTAAGGGGCGCAACTAAATGAGACTTAGATTTCAGGCCAAGATGATTTGAGATGTATTGGCATTTACTGGACTAGGAGACACAGAAGAACTCTCCACACCTGCTCCCTGTCGCCCCCATGACACGGGCCGAGTTACACCCCATGCTATGGAGATGCCAGTGGCATCGCTTCACTATAATGATGCGATCAGCGTAGCCTTGTGCGGCCCCTGTCATTTCTCCCTTTCCGAAGCAGATGAGTTTTAGAAAATGTTGGACAGCGTTAGAGGTTCACCACAAACCGCACTCACTGAGCTTCTCGCTGCCCCACAGGGCATGCGCAGAGCTTGCACAGGTCACCGGTGTGCTGAGTCACCCTCGCTGGCCTGGGCCCTGGGTAGCACAGGGCGGAATCGGCGCCTCCCGGCCGGTGCCAGCGCAGCTCCGCTCCACTGGGTTGGGACAGTGGGGATGCTGGACTTAGGGCCAAACGCTGGGCGCGGTGCTCTGGGGACCCTGCCTTCATCTCCCTGGAATGCAGAGCGCCAGGAGGGGGAGGAAGCACAGAGCATGAGCCGACTCCACGTCGGACCCCACCTGGAGAAGGGGCGATGCTCAGACTGTGAGCGAGAGCTCCGTGGGCCGGAACCGCCAGGCTTCCTTCAGAACCAGCACAAGAGCACCCAGAAGGAGAGGTGCTTCTCTCCACCCGAGCGGCAAAGCGGAGAGCCTTGCGCCACACCAGGGCACGGCCTCCTCACCATGGAAGCTCTTTCTCATCGTGACTCAGCTCCTTGTGGCCACACGCACCTCATCGCCGCTGAGCTGGGGGACATGCCAGCTTCCACGGTAACTCTCGGTGGCAATGCCCTGGCCTAGTCGTCACCAACCTGCTTCTGGCTCAGGCCTCCGCCTTTCTGGCGGGCTCTTCGTCGTTAGCCCCGCGCTCCTCCCGCTCTCCTCGGCCCCAGACACAATCGTGACCTGTTTCCTCTCTGATACCAGCGTGCTGTATATAAGCGTCTGCTGAAGAACGGGGGGCAGGGAGAGCAGCTGGAATACAGAGGAGGAAACTGCTCCAAAACAAGCATCCGCTGCCACCCACCACAGAGAATCACTCACCGGGCATCTCTCCCCTCACCCGGCCACGCCACGGCTGCAGATGGCTACTCCCCATCTCCCACATGCCAGCGACCCAAAGCCGCATCTCTCCTTTTCCCGGGTGGCCAGAGGAATCGTGGAAATTCCTGGTACTTGACTCCTGCTCCCCAAATGGTGGAAGACATGTTTTTCCCTATTTCTCCTGCTAACCGCAGCTCAAAACCCTGGGTGTTGTATATAAAATAAACAAGACAACACAGAGAGGTGGACAGAAGACAGCCAGACGGCAAACTCAGATGGAGGAGCGAGATGGGAATATGTTCCTCAGAGTTCATTTTGCCTCGTTTATCTCCGACTAGGTGATGGAGAAGCGGCAACTTACAGGTTCCGATAAGCTCAGACCCCCAAAAAGCCCCAAGAAGAGCCTCTTGGGCGGCCTGGCAAGGCAGAAATCTTTTAGACAGTACATGCCCTAGTCCAGCAAACATCACGGAAACGAACTGTGGCTCCGCCCCCACGCCTGCTGGCAAAAGCAAACTGCGGAGCCTAGAATTGTACCCTTGCCAAGCTATAAGGAGGAACCCCAAGTCCCGTGCCAGGGTGCTGACATATAAGGCCGCACGAGGGGCCAGGACTTTCACCCTGGATGAGCAGTCAGGGGCCCCCATCTCTGTGGGGTCAGGGGAGCCCATGTGGGGAGCCTGACCTTCCAGGCCCACCCAGTGGCAATAAGGTGCTGCTCTTCCTTTCCCATGGGGCGGTATCAGGAGAGGACCCTCGCCACCATCTATCTCCCTGTGGAGTCAGTGGAGGCCACATGGGAGCAACCATAAGGCACCCTGACCCCCTCTCCCAGCCAGCACAGTCCTAGTAGGGAGCCTAAACTCTCACCCCAGCCAGCAGTAACGAGGTGTACATCCCTGCCAGGTGTCAGCGGAGGGGGACCGAGAACCTGGATTCCCATCCTCGCCTGGTGGCACTGAGGTGGCATCCCTCTTCCCCGCCACAGTGATGTCGGAAGGCTTCCACTGGAACAGAAAGTTGAAATGAGACCTCGAATGTCTTAACGTAACACCCAAACTGTCCAGATTTTGACCAAAAATCACTCATCTTACCAAGAACAAGGAAAGCATCAACTTGAATGAGAAAAGACAGATGCCAACACCAAGATGATACAAACGTGACAATTATCTGACAAAGATTTTAAAGCAGTCATCGTAAAAATGCTTCAATGAGCCATAATGAACACACTGAAATAAATTTAAAGAAACAGAAAGTTTCGGTAAAGAAATAGTTTCATCAAAGAAACAGAAGACGCAAAGAAGAACCACGTGGAAACTACAGAAAACATAAAATAACCCAATTTAAAAAAATAGCAGATGAACAAAAAACAGCCTCGTGAGAGAAACAGAGGAAAGAACCCATGAACTTCAAAGACAAAGCAATAAAAATGACCCGACCTGAACAAGTAGACAGAAAATCAGCAAGGATACAGAAAAAGTCAACCACACAATCAACAACAGAATGCAATCGACATTAATAGAAGACTCCACACAAGAGCAGAACACAAGTTCTTCTCAAGCGCTCATTGCATATATTCTCAGAAAGACTGTATCCCGGGCCATAAAACAAACCTCAACAAATGTAAAAGAATTGCTACGTAGAGAGTCTGTTTTCTGACCACAATGGAATCGAACTAGAAATCAGTCCCAGAAAAACAACAGGAAAATGTCCAAACATTTGGCAACTAAACAACACACTTGTAAACATCCCATAGGTCGAATAAGTCACAAGAGAAATTTAAAAATATTGAACTAAATAAAAACGTCTACACAACGTATCAGAATGTGCTGGGGCGCAGCTAAAGCAGGGCTGAGAGGGAGAGTCATAGCACAATGTTTACATTAGACAAAAGGGAAAGGTGCCCACCAACCGGTCACCACGACAGCCCTGGAAAAGTAAGGGGGTGGGACTAGAGGCCAAGGGCCCTTAGGGAAAAAATCCCTTCTCATGGAC